ACACACACACACACACACATATATATATATGTATATGTATGAAGAGTTAATTTGCAAAAACGGATAACTCCATATTTTTTTTTTACTATTTTCAGAAATCATGTTTTTACACTAACACAATAAAACACAATAACATAACAAAAAACATGATTTTTTGAAAATTTAAAAATCTGTTTTGTTTTTGCAAATAAACTTCATATATATATTAGTGTTTTCAAACGATTAATTGCGATTAATCGCATACCAAAGTTTTTGTTTGCATAATGTGTTCTGTGTATATTATGTATATATAAATACACACAGATATAGTTTATATTTTGAAAATATTTACATGTCTATATATTCATATAATTTATATTAAAACACATTTTTCTGAAATATATACATGCATTTGTGTGTATTTATATATACATAATAAATACACACAGTACACATACATATATTATCTAAACAAACTTATTTTGGATGCGATTAATCGTTTGACAGCACTAATCAATATATATATATATCTCTCAGTGTTTATCATCATCTGAAACGTGCTGTGACTCGTATAATCTCATGTACTTCATAGACATCTATTCTGTTCTCTGTTGTTCTGTTGTCGGTGATTCTTTGTCTGGACAACGGCACTGTTCACACACTGTGGTATCGGGGCATTTTTACGAATACAGGAGCGCAGTATCGGTATCGTAACATCCGTGTTTCTTCCAGGGCGACATGCTTCAGAAAGAGAAGCAGAGTCTGCAGCTGTTGAAGGAGATCCAGCAGATGAAGGAGGATCATGAAGCTGTGCAGCAGAGGAGGGCCGAGGAGATCGCAGCGCTTCAGGAGGAAACCCAGAAGACCACCCTGAGGATGCAGGTAGAGAAGGATCTGAAGCGTTTGTGTGTGTTCTGCGGCTCAGACGCGTGACTGTGCTTGTGTTCAGATCGCCAGCACCGAGCTCAGCATGTTCCAGCAGAAACTAGAGGAGGAGGTGAGGAAAGACCAGCAGGAGAAGAAGGAGAACCAGGAGACGCTCAAGACACTGAAGATGGAGATCAAACACCTGGCAGATTTACATGAAAGGTCAGACACACACTCATGATCATACACTCTCACACACGTTTGTTTGACTATATCCGAGAGCACACCTCTAGCCCTAAACTTACCCATCCCAGAAACATGTGCAGAACTACATTCAAATACTAACATAATTTGGATGATTTACAAGCCTAGTGACGGCCAGCTAAAAAAATGAGGACATTTTAGCCTCCGAAGTATGGTTAAAGCTGCTGTTTCACAGCTGAATGGCTCTGTGTGTTCTCTAGTCACACCAGAGACATCAGTGTGAAGAATAAAGAGTATGAGGCAGAACTGGAACGATTCCTGGACGCCAGGTGAGTCTGAACACTAACACGGTTACATTTCTATGGAGAGTTTTTCACTAAATATTTCTGTTACTTAAATGCATGCAGCTTTGGTGAGCAGAAGAGATTTTATCCACGTACATGCAGTTAGGGCTGGGCCAAAAATCAGTCGATATCGATCATTTAATTATCACGATAAATTTCTAATCTGTATTTCTTTCAAGTTTAAAGACCGATTCTTGCTCCTGAGTGAAAGCTGTAGAAACCAGACTGTTAAATGTGGTTTTAAACTCTTTATGGTCCGAACACGACAAACACTTCACGCTTCTGAATTCTTCAAGTCATTTTTCCTGAATAAAATAAATACCTTAATAATAAAAATTCATTTCTTAGTTTGTGCATGTACTAATTGTTTCAGATCATGAAGCAGGTTTGTGTTCCTGACTTTGACAACGTTTGCAGTGCAGGCTGCATTATTAATATTACATTTTTTGTCTCTCAGAAATGCACACGTGGCAGTAGCTTGAGTTTGGACGCAGATGCAAATTTGTTCATTATCATAAAAACCACAACCTCATTTTTATATGATGAAATGTAATTATTCTGACTGAGTTTTATTCAAATTAACCCTTGGTCTTCCATAGTAGCAAACATTGAGATCATGATAAAACCACACATATAGCACCTCAATACCACGGTAAAAATCAAACTACTGTTTTTCACACAAATACCTAGAAACCGTCGAAATACGTTTTATTCAAATTAACCCTTGGTCTTCCATAGTAGCAAACATTGAGATCATGATAAAACCACACATATAGCACCTCAATACCACGGTAAAAATCGAACTACTATGTGGTATAAATGCACAAATGCTATAGCTTAATCACGAAAAATACTGTAATTATATTCCATTACTCCTTTAATACGTGTCTACATGAATATAATACAATTTGATATGAATATCCTTCATTTCTGACACAATACCATGGTGCAGTTAGTGTTACTAGAGTAAATCCATGGTAACTGCTGGGGATTTGTAGATTGAAAGTCTTCTGACTGTCTCGTAGCTCACAGTGTTTCTGCTGTCTGTCAGCGCGGTTTCATCCGGCTCTAAACTCGTCTAAACCATTTGTTCTTCTCTTGTTCTTGATCTGCTCTAGTGAGCTCACGCTGCCGTCTGACCTCTGACCCGAGCGCTGTCCGCTTTCACCGCATAAACATCATATGCGGAACATCATTATTTGTTCTACTGTAGTTTTTTTTGGTCCTATTGCTTGTAATTAGTTTCTTATTATTTAATCGCTGACTGTTTACTTCGGTGAGCGTGAGTTTTTTTTTTTTTTAGGCAAGTATTAGTTTTTTGTGATATTGACACTGGTGACCAGAATTATGAAATTTCTATGGTATTAAAAATGTTGATGATATAAAGGCCTTATCTAAAGCAAAAATAACTATCGTGATGTATATCGTTGCCATGAAATAAAATTACTCGTATAGTGATGTAAGGTTTTGGTCATATCACCCACTCTTAACGTGTGTGTGTGTGTGTGTGTGAGTGTGAGTATCTGTGTGTGTGTGTGTGTGTGTGAGTATCTGTGTGTGAGAGTGTGAGTATCTGTGTGTGTGTGAGTGTGTGTGTGAGAGTGTGAGTATCTGTGTGTGTGAGTGCGAGTATCTGTGTGTGTGTGTGTGTGTGTGTGTGTGTGTGTGAGTGTGAGTATCTCTGTGTGTGTGTGTGTGTGTGTGAGTATCTGTGTGTGTGTGTGTGAGTATCTGTGTGTGTGTGTGTGAGTATCTGTGTGTGTGTGTGTGAGTATCTGTGTGTGTGTGTGTGAGTATCTGTGTGTGTGTGTGTGAGTATCTGTGTGTGTGTGTGTGAGTATCTGTGTGTGTGTGTGTGAGTATCTGTGTGTGTGTGTGTGAGTATCTGTGTGTGTGTGTGTGAGTATCTGTGTGTGTGTGTGTGAGTATCTGTGTGTGTGTGTGTGAGTATCTGTGTGTGTGTGTGTGAGTATCTGTGTGTGTGTGTGTGAGTATCTGTGTGTGTGTGTGTGAGTATCTGTGTGTGTGTGTGTGAGTATCTGTGTGTGTGTGTGTGAGTATCTGTGTGTGTGTGTGTGAGTATCTGTGTGTGTGTGTGTGAGTATCTGTGTGTGTGTGTGTGAGTATCTGTGTGTGTGTGTGTGAGTATCTGTGTGTGTGTGTGTGAGTATCTGTGTGTGTGTGTGTGAGTATCTGTGTGTGTGTGTGTGAGTATCTGTGTGTGTGTGTGTGAGTATCTGTGTGTGTGTGTGTGAGTATCTGTGTGTGTGTGTGTGAGTATCTGTGTGTGTGTGTGTGAGTATCTGTGTGTGTGTGTGTGAGTATCTGTGTGTGTGTGTGTGAGTATCTGTGTGTGTGTGTGTGAGTATCTGTGTGTGTGTGTGTGAGTATCTGTGTGTGTGTGTGTGAGTATCTGTGTGTGTGTGTGTGAGTATCTGTGTGTGTGTGTGTGAGTATCTGTGTGTGTGTGTGTGAGTATCTGTGTGTGTGTGTGTGAGTATCTGTGTGTGTGTGTGTGAGTATCTGTGTGTGTGTGTGTGAGTATCTGTGTGTGTGTGTGTGAGTATCTGTGTGTGTGTGTGTGAGTATCTGTGTGTGTGTGTGTGAGTATCTGTGTGTGTGTGTGTGAGTATCTGTGTGTGTGTGTGTGAGTATCTGTGTGTGTGTGTGTGAGTATCTGTGTGTGTGTGTGTGAGTATCTGTGTGTGTGTGTGTGAGTATCTGTGTGTGTGTGTGTGAGTATCTGTGTGTGTGTGTGTGAGTATCTGTGTGTGTGTGTGTGAGTATCTGTGTGTGTGTGTGTGAGTATCTGTGTGTGTGTGTGTGAGTATCTGTGTGTGTGTGTGTGAGTATCTGTGTGTGTGTGTGTGAGTATCTGTGTGTGTGTGTGTGAGTATCTGTGTGTGTGTGTGTGAGTATCTGTGTGTGTGTGTGTGAGTATCTGTGTGTGTGTGTGTGAGTATCTGTGTGTGTGTGTGTGAGTATCTGTGTGTGTGTGTGTGAGTATCTGTGTGTGTGTGTGTGAGTATCTGTGTGTGTGTGTGTGAGTATCTGTGTGTGTGAGTATCTGTGTGTGTGAGTATCTGTGTGTGAGTGTGAGCATCTGTGTGAATGTGTGTGTGTGTGAGTGTGAGTATCTGTGAGTGTGAGTATCTGTGTGTGTGTGTGACAGAGAGAGAGAGAGTGTGTGTGTGAGAGTATCCGTGTGTGTGTGTGTGCCTGTGTGTGTGTGTGACAGAGAGAGAGAGAGTGTGTGTGTGAGAGTATCCGTGTGTGTGTGTGTGCCTGTGTGTGTGTGTGACAGAGAGAGAGAGAGTGTGTGTGTGAGAGTATCCGTGTGTGTGTGTGTGCCTGTGTGTGTGTGTGACAGAGAGAGAGAGAGTGTGTGTGTGAGAGTATCCGTGTGTGTGTGTGTGCCTGTGTGTGTGTGTGACAGAGAGAGAGAGAGTGTGTGTGTGAGAGTATCCGTGTGTGTGTGTGTGCCTGTGTGTGTGTGTGACAGAGAGAGAGAGAGTGTGTGTGTGAGAGTATCCGTGTGTGTGTGTGTGCCTGTGTGTGTGTGTGACAGAGAGAGAGAGAGTGTGTGTGTGAGAGTATCCGTGTGTGTGTGTGTGCCTGTGTGTGTGTGTGACAGAGAGAGAGAGAGTGTGTGTGTGAGAGTATCCGTGTGTGTGTGTGTGCCTGTGTGTGTGTGTGACAGAGAGAGAGAGAGTGTGTGTGTGAGAGTATCCGTGTGTGTGTGTGTGCCTGTGTGTGTGTGTGACAGAGAGAGAGAGAGTGTGTGTGTGAGAGTATCCGTGTGTGTGTGTGTGCCTGTGTGTGTGTGTGACAGAGAGAGAGAGAGTGTGTGTGTGAGAGTATCCGTGTGTGTGTGTGTGCCTGTGTGTGTGTGTGACAGAGAGAGAGAGAGTGTGTGTGTGAGAGTATCCGTGTGTGTGTGTGTGCCTGTGTGTGTGTGTGACAGAGAGAGAGAGAGTGTGTGTGTGAGAGTATCCGTGTGTGTGTGTGTGCCTGTGTGTGTGTGTGACAGAGAGAGAGAGAGTGTGTGTGTGAGAGTATCCGTGTGTGTGTGTGTGCCTGTGTGTGTGTGTGACAGAGAGAGAGAGAGTGTGTGTGTGAGAGTATCCGTGTGTGTGTGTGTGCCTGTGTGTGTGTGTGACAGAGAGAGAGAGAGTGTGTGTGTGAGAGTATCCGTGTGTGTGTGTGTGCCTGTGTGTGTGTGTGACAGAGAGAGAGAGAGTGTGTGTGTGAGAGTATCCGTGTGTGTGTGTGTGCCTGTGTGTGTGTGTGACAGAGAGAGAGAGAGTGTGTGTGTGAGAGTATCCGTGTGTGTGTGTGTGCCTGTGTGTGTGTGTGACAGAGAGAGAGAGAGTGTGTGTGTGAGAGTATCCGTGTGTGTGTGTGTGCCTGTGTGTGTGTGTGACAGAGAGAGAGAGAGTGTGTGTGTGAGAGTATCCGTGTGTGTGTGTGTGCCTGTGTGTGTGTGTGACAGAGAGAGAGAGAGTGTGTGTGTGAGAGTATCCGTGTGTGTGTGTGTGCCTGTGTGTGTGTGTGACAGAGAGAGAGAGAGTGTGTGTGTGAGAGTATCCGTGTGTGTGTGTGTGCCTGTGTGTGTGTGTGACAGAGAGAGAGAGAGTGTGTGTGTGAGAGTATCCGTGTGTGTGTGTGTGCCTGTGTGTGTGTGTGACAGAGAGAGAGAGAGTGTGTGTGTGAGAGTATCCGTGTGTGTGTGTGTGCCTGTGTGTGTGTGTGACAGAGAGAGAGAGAGTGTGTGTGTGAGAGTATCCGTGTGTGTGTGTGTGCCTGTGTGTGTGTGTGACAGAGAGAGAGAGAGTGTGTGTGTGAGAGTATCCGTGTGTGTGTGTGTGCCTGTGTGTGTGTGTGACAGAGAGAGAGAGAGTGTGTGTGTGAGAGTATCCGTGTGTGTGTGTGTGCCTGTGTGTGTGTGTGACAGAGAGAGAGAGAGTGTGTGTGTGAGAGTATCCGTGTGTGTGTGTGTGCCTGTGTGTGTGTGTGACAGAGAGAGAGAGAGTGTGTGTGTGAGAGTATCCGTGTGTGTGTGTGTGCCTGTGTGTGTGTGTGACAGAGAGAGAGAGAGTGTGTGTGTGAGAGTATCCGTGTGTGTGTGTGTGCCTGTGTGTGTGTGTGACAGAGAGAGAGAGAGTGTGTGTGTGAGAGTATCCGTGTGTGTGTGTGTGCCTGTGTGTGTGTGTGACAGAGAGAGAGAGAGTGTGTGTGTGAGAGTATCCGTGTGTGTGTGTGTGCCTGTGTGTGTGTGTGACAGAGAGAGAGAGAGTGTGTGTGTGAGAGTATCCGTGTGTGTGTGTGTGCCTGTGTGTGTGTGTGACAGAGAGAGAGAGAGTGTGTGTGTGAGAGTATCCGTGTGTGTGTGTGTGCCTGTGTGTGTGTGTGACAGAGAGAGAGAGAGTGTGTGTGTGAGAGTATCCGTGTGTGTGTGTGTGCCTGTGTGTGTGTGTGACAGAGAGAGAGAGAGTGTGTGTGTGAGAGTATCCGTGTGTGTGTGTGTGCCTGTGTGTGTGTGTGACAGAGAGAGAGAGAGTGTGTGTGTGAGAGTATCCGTGTGTGTGTGTGTGCCTGTGTGTGTGTGTGACAGAGAGAGAGAGAGTGTGTGTGTGAGAGTATCCGTGTGTGTGTGTGTGCCTGTGTGTGTGTGTGACAGAGAGAGAGAGAGTGTGTGTGTGAGAGTATCCGTGTGTGTGTGTGTGCCTGTGTGTGTGTGTGACAGAGAGAGAGAGAGTGTGTGTGTGAGAGTATCCGTGTGTGTGTGTGTGCCTGTGTGTGTGTGTGACAGAGAGAGAGAGAGTGTGTGTGTGAGAGTATCCGTGTGTGTGTGTGTGCCTGTGTGTGTGTGTGACAGAGAGAGAGAGAGTGTGTGTGTGAGAGTATCCGTGTGTGTGTGTGTGCCTGTGTGTGTGTGTGACAGAGAGAGAGAGAGTGTGTGTGTGAGAGTATCCGTGTGTGTGTGTGTGCCTGTGTGTGTGTGTGACAGAGAGAGAGAGAGTGTGTGTGTGAGAGTATCCGTGTGTGTGTGTGTGCCTGTGTGTGTGTGTGACAGAGAGAGAGAGAGTGTGTGTGTGAGAGTATC